CCTTATACGCGGCCACACGTGCAGACGCGTAGAGCGGTACTCGCGCCCACACGTGTATCCGCCTTTCTTGGCCAACATAGGCGGCTGCACTCGCAGCCGTGTACCGCGTGACATACACGCCCATGCATGGGGCGCGTATGTTCCCCTAGATAGGCGCCCACACGTGTAGCTGCGTATGTCAACATCCCTCTGTGCACGTGCCGGCGCGAGTCGCCTTCGTCGACGGGCCGTTTCACGCGCTCACGCCCGCCCATGTTGGCCAAGTTAGGCGGCTGCACGTGTGGGCGCGAGTACCGCTATACGCGTCTGCACGTGTGGCCGCGTACTCCCTTAATGTGGGTAAACGAAAGTAACGTAAACGCTACTATGAAAGAATTTAAACAAACAACTCTCTCTAATGAAGAAGCCGAAAAAACACGCCGGGGTCAGTCCGCCCGAGCCAGCCAGCTGCCGGCTCGCACGGCAGCCTCTTCCTCTCGACCAGCCTCAACTTCCGTACAGTCAGCATTTTGTCGCTGCGTGCTCGTGGCCAGCTGTGGCGGCGGTCGAAGTTCGCCCAGGTTCGGTGACGAGCGCCAGACGATAGTAGTGTCTCTGTTCGCCCTGTGCATGTCAGGCCAGGCTGCAGCAGGGCACTACCATCGTGCTGCCCTGTTGCAGCCTGACTTTGCCCACTGTGCACAGTCGCCAGAGCACCACCACCGCCCGGCATCGTGTCACGGCGAGCTCCTTCTGCGCCCGCTCGCGAGGCTCTCGCGCTGGCACACTTTGGCCATCTGCTGCTCGCGTTCGGCGAGCTCATCTCCGCACTCCTGCCACGGTGCCGTCACCACACACCTTCTGGCCGGCCTGAGCCGCGCGGGGTCGCCAGCGGGGGCAACGCGTCGACCTCTCTCTCTGGTGCACCACGGGCCGCAACGGCCTGCTAGCAGCGTGCGCGAGGAGGCAGTGTGCCGGCACAGTCGAGCCGGAGCATCGGGTTCTTGATGCTTGTGGGGTCAAGTCTGACCTTATGCGGCCTAATACGCAATAATAATGCTATGCTCTCACCCAGTCTTTTGAGATATTATCCCTCAAAGTCGAATTTTCGTTTACTGGTGACCATAGTAGTGTCTGTCTTGTTTGCGAGATCTTCAAACGAATCCTTTAAAGTCTCGACAATCACTAAGCTGCTTATGTGGCACCGCAGAGGCTCCCTTGGGGATGCCTGAGGCCACCCCAACCACTCACTAGGCCGTACGTGGACGAATTGGCCGCTACTTTTTTCGTTTACCTACATTAAGGGAGTATCTTGGCTAAGATACGCGCGGGCACAGAATGACACGTATCAGGCCCCGCCGAGCTCGATGGGCGGCAGCGCGTGAGGGCGGCTATTCTCCCCCGAGGCAGGCAAGGATACGCAGTCCCTCGTGTCGCGCGTGTAAGTCCCGGTTGCCGTGCGCGCCAGCGCGTGTGGCCGCGTACCTTAGCTAAGATACGCGCGCACGGGCGTGGGTGGGTAAAAACGGGTCACTTTGCGGGGTTTGCCCCGGTGAGTCGAGTGCGCGAGGCGTGGCCTTCGGATCCGTCTTCAGGGCTCGGGGCTCGTGGCTCAATGTCTGCACGGTTTTCTCTCTGCACGGTTGGGTTCGCCCCTCATGTCGGCACTACCTCCTCGGCTTCGAACGCAGGTATGTGTGTCTCCGCCGCTTCGAACGCTTCGCACCTCCTCCTGCCTCGGCACAAGCTCCGGCCCGCCTCCTCGCGCCGCCGCAGCCCTGGCCACCGGCTCGGTGTGGCGCTCGCCTCTGCAGACCAGTTTGTGCGCGCGGCGCCTCCCACCGACGCGTCGGGAGGCCCGGTCCTGTCTTCGCTCTACCGCTACCCGGTCAAGTCTGGCCGTGCGGAGCCTGTCGGCGAGGCGCGGCTCACTCCCGAGGGTCTCGAGGGCGACCGCCGCTTCGTCGTCGTCTCGGCCGCCGACGGCACGCACCGGACGCAGCGGGAGCTGCCGCGCCTTGCGATTCTCGAGGCGACGGTCGATAGCGCGGCCGACGTGCTGCGGCTCCGTGCGGGCGCGGGCGGCGTCAACGTCAGCATATCCCGCGAGGGAGCGCAGGCGAAGGCCGCCTCCCTCTTCGGCGCGCCCCTCCGGCTCGCCGACCAGGGCGACATTGCGGCCGCCTGGCTTTCTTCCTGGCTAGCAAGCAGCAGAGGAGGCGCAGGCAGGCGAGGCCGAGGCAGAGGAGGCGGAGGCGGAGGCGATGGCGGAGGAGGCATCTTCGCCGCCGCCGCAGCCATCCTCTCCGCCGCCGCGCCGCCCCGCTACCGGCTGCTGCGCGCGCCCGACCCGGGGACCGGGGGGGAGGCTGGCGTCGCTGCGGCGGGCGCGGCCGCGAGCGGCGCGGCGCTGCGTGGCGGGGCGGGGCTGGCGGACGTGTCTCCGCTGCTGCTGGTGTGTGCGCGGGGCCGAGAGCTCTCCATCTCGGCAGACCTCGGGAAATCTCGGGAGATCTCGGCGCATCGCGGCCTCAGGTGTGCGAGGAGTCGCTGCTCGCTCTCAACGCGCGCCGCGCCGCCGAGGGACGGCCCCACGCCCCGCTCTCGCGCTTCCGGCCGACTCTCGTGCCGCAGGGCCTCAACGAAAAGAACTGTGCGGAGGGGGGGATGAGCAGGAGTGTGTCCTCGTAGGCCGAACCTCGTGCTCCAGGGCTGTGGCCGGCCGCACGCCGAGGACGCGTGGAGGCGCGTCCGGGTCGGCGGGGCGGAGTTCCACGTCGCCGGCCCCTGTCCACGCTGCGGCGTGCCGGATGTTGCACAGGCGCTGGCGAGTAGAGGCCCCGCCCACCCACGGTACCCTCTCCGAGGACCCATTTGGGCTGGCGAGTATCGAGGACTCGCCGGGGCTCTGCTCCAAGAGACCTCGAGAGAGCGTGCGTGTGCATCGACTCGCCAGGCACAGGCGAGACCTCGCAGCAGCGAGGCGGCCCAGCCCGTCTTGACACCGGGCATGCTCCGACACCTCTCGCACACATGCACGCTCCCACAACACTTGCTCGGACAGCGCTACGCCTGCTCTTGACAGCGCGCTCCCCCCCCTCGACCGCGCGTGGGCCAGGCGACGGGCGCGCGCGACCCGGCGGCGACCGGGCCGATGGCCTCGCTGCGGCGGTACCGCTCCCGCGGCGGGCAGGTCCACTTTGGCATCTACCTGGTCCCGCTCAACCCGGGCGCGAGCGTGCGCGTCGGTGACAGCGTGGCCTTTGAGGCGTGACACGTCACAGCTCATCTTCGTTTCGTGCTGAGCCTAAGGTAAGGTAAGGTGTAAGCGTAAGCCGTAAGGTAAACTTCCCTCTTTTCCCACACACACGACGCGAGGGTGCCGAGCAGGAGGTGTGCTGGAAAGGGAGGGGGCGACCCTCCCTCGCGTCTCCACGTGCACGCGAAGAGTATCTACGGTAGACGACAGAGCCCCACGGGCACGGCATTAAATAAGTGCAGGCCCCCGGGGCCCTGGATGTGAGGCTGATGACTGCACTCCAAGTGCTCCAAGTGCCCTAGGCCTAGCAAGGCCCCCGGGGGTGTGCGTAGAATCTACGGCGTAGTCCGAGACGTCGACGTCTGACGTGTGCGGCCTCGTGGCGGGGCGTGGGTGAGCGTGTGGAGCCTGGGTGTGCTGTTCCTCGTGTGAGGACACGAACGAGTCTCAGTCTGGAGACTCGCGGCGGATCGTCCGGCTGGTAAAAAAATCCTCACTGGCCCAGCTGGGGCAGAGATGACTCTCGCAGCCGCAGCCGTAGCTGCAGCCCCAACTCTCGCCGCTCTTTCTTTGTGTGTGTGTCGGGTAGTGACCCGGGGTGAGGGGACGGACAGGGGACGGATCCGGGAAGAAAACCGAGGTCCGATAAAGAAACGCAGCGCCATCGGAGACCTTGTTTTTCCCCGCGAAATCCACGCACCTTCTCGGGACGCCTCTTTTGACCACGCGCAAAAACCGTCGACGATCTTTAGGGCGAGCGCCTAGGATCTGGGAGGAGACGAGACACACCTGCCCCCTCCCCCGAGAACGCACTGCGCGCTCGCTTCCCGGATCTCGGGAATGCCTCCGGCAAGGCCGGGGGCTGTCCGCGCCTCGGATCGGCTTGGCAGAGCGCAGCCGCTGCCGCAAGTCGGGCTGCAGGCGCTCGTGCTTGCGCTTGCGGCTCTCGCGCGCCCAGCCGCCGCTGTGCAGCTGCCGGCCAATGCTGTCAACGTGTCCTCCGGGGAGACATGCCCAGAGGGCACGACGCAGCCGACGGTTGACTGGTGCCAGTGGTACGCTGGCGAGCTTGGCGTCTACTACCTCGACAAGTCGGGCTTCTACCCCGAGGAGGGCGCGTTGGTGGCGTGCGGTGCGCTGAGCGGGGAGGGGAGGGGGGCGTGCGAGGGCGGGGAAGGGGATACGGGGGCTGGCGGAGGCCGCACCCGCGCACCGTCCTGTCTGCCTCTCCCTCGGCCCTGCAGCGTCGGTAGAGGTCTGAGCGGGGCGAGTCCGTCTGCCCAATCCCGACTGGTCCCAACCCCCTCCCTCACCAGTGCATCGGTTGGTAAACAACTACTCCGACCCCGACTCGCTCTACGAAGCCGTGCCCATGCCGGAGATGACCGTGAGCTACCAGTTCGCCGACGGGCGCTGCCCCGACTACAAGTACTGCGAGACCTGCCTGCCCCGCGTCCTGCAGTGCTACTGCATCAGCGACGACTCCTCGCCTCCGCCTCCGCTGCCGCCCCTGTCGCCGGGAGAAACGCTGTCGCCGCCGATGCAGATTCCCAACTTGAGACTCTACGTCGGTCAGTGCATCCCACACGACGGCTGGGCCGGCGTCCAAAACTGCCAGGTACGCGGAGGAAGGCGGGGGGGCCCCAGGGGCGGTCGCAGTTCTCGGTACCCCTACTCCCGTGCG